TTGAACTTCACCCACAGATGCTGGGGGATTCTGGGAGTTGGAGTCCTTCCCTCTTAAAGCATGCTGGTTGGGGAATTCTGGGAGTTGAACTCCACCCACAGATGCTGGGGGATTCTGGGAGTTGAAGTCCACCCTTCTTAAAGCTGCCCAGGTTCACAGACCCTGCTGCCCTCCCACCCCCTTGACCCCTTCCACTCCCTGTGAATCCTTCCTAGCCAATTGCTTGTCAAATTAGCCCAAAAGGTTTAGAAATTTTGTGATTATTTGAACCCAGTAGAGCCCTCTATCCATTTCTCCAAATGCTACAACCTGCCCTCCTAATACAGGGCGCGCTTATCCACAATGCCCCAGGGTTTTTCCAGCCAAACCATGTACAAAGAGAACAGATAATCCTGGCCGAAACTGTGTCACCCAAGACCACGCTAAATGGGTATTTCAAGCATAAATTCCCCATTTTTGTGTGTGTGTGTTTGCAACTGCCTAGGAACTTTGCAAGCAACGTTGCCACCTCTGTTGTTTTTGGCAGCATCCTCTGCCTGTGTGTGGCTTAGTTTTGTTCTTTTACAACACCCCAATTTCACAATTTTCTGTCACCCCCCCACCATTTTTTGGGGGTGGGGTGGGTGGGACTTCCCTCTCCTGGGGGCTTATGACCCCTGGCTTTGTCCATAAAGCGGCTTTTCTCACGGGATCCCCCCCCCATTTAACACGTAGGTGAGAAGTTCCACCCTTCTCGCCAACTTTGTTATGTAAGGAGGTTATTGGGGGGGTCCCTAGGGCCCCATTTCCTCTCCTTGGCCCCCCCCCCCCCCCCTCCACCAGGAAGCTTGGGCAACCAGCCAGGCCTGAAGCAGAAAAATATGCTTTATAAAAAAAGACATCAATTGCACGGATTTATGGCCCAGCCAGCATCCTCTTGTAAAACGATTTGTTGAGTGAGAAGCATCCTGATGGCAGGACAGACATAGATAACCATTTTCTTGCAATTAAAAGCAAGGGGAACATCCCCTCCAAGTGAGACTTCCCTGCTTTTCCAGATATATACATACATACATATATATATATATGTATTTTTCCATTTTTTTTCTTTTCTCTTCCTTTTTTCCTTCCTCCTTTCCTTCCCTTTTTTCTTTTTCCTTTCTCCTTCTTCCTTTTTGTTCTTCTTCCTTCTTTCCTTCTCCATTTTTTTCTTTCATTCCCCAACCTTTCCTTCCTCCCTTCCTCTTCCTTTTTTTCTTCTTTTCCTTCCTTCCTTTCCTTCTCCATTTTTTCTTTCATTCCCCAACCTTTCCTTCCTCCCTTCCTTTCTCTTCCTTCTTTTCATCCTTTCCTTTTCTTCCTCTTTTCCTTCTTCCTTTCCTT